ACTGGTTTTCAGTCACTCTATAATATTATTTAAATGCAATATAGAAAGATTTAATTGATAAATATAAGAATCTCACTTCTATACAAGATTAGCAGATTACTCTTTCATAATAGTGAGATATCACTAAGATATCACTCTAGCTATTCTCACTTATAGAATAGAAGAAGAGTATCTGCTTATTATCTATATAGAATAGCTAGATGCTGACTCTTTATCAAAGAAGTCAGTGATTTATTTCTGACTGATAATATATATAAGAGTTACTGCATTTCTTATACAATCTTTTTAGTATACTAAGTACTATATCTATAATATTCTCATAATAACTCTGTAGCTCATGAGCTTACTATTCAAGTAAGATAGTCAAGCTTACTTATACAGCTTCTCAAACAACTATCTTTATATAACACTACTGACTAGTCATCACTTCAGTTCTATCATGTTATATCTTTTAATTATAATAAATAATTACTGACTAACAGAGCCTGAAATATAAAAATAAATGCTTACAGACAATTATTCAGAGATTCACAGCTTAACATAATATATACTGATAACTACTAAAAGTATTTATAATAAAAAGATAAATATAAAAATCAAATGTATAATAGTATTCAACCTGAGTTATAAACTTGTAAATAGTAATTATAAACTTCTGTTTATATAAATTGTATATAGTCATGAGCTGCTAACTCTATTAATTATATAAGAGATTGAAATAAAAGTAAAGAATTTACAAAAAGTAGAATTTCTTACAGAAAATTATAATTTCATATTAAAAATATAATAAGAATAAATAGTAGATTTCATTAAAATTATATAAAACTATTATTTAATCTCAATATTATATATTGAGATCAATTAATTTAATAATGTGATTATTAAATATTTTAATTCTGATTTCAAATATGATTACTTTGTAAATTTAATCTCTTTATCAGTTTTCAGAGAAATTTATATTCAGAGATCTCTATACTCAAAAATTTTAATATTTAGAGCTGTTTTATAACTGAAGAATCTATATTTGAGAGCTTTATACTCTGTACATAGAAAGTCTCTTCTGAAACTATACTTAGAGAAAGAAACTTTATATTTCTATGTCTGAGAGAGATTTTTATACTCAGAGCAGAAGAGTAATACTAGTATTTATTGAGAGATCTGTGAGAAGTGAAGCTCATAGTCTGAAAGCCAAGACTGACTAAATCATATATAGCAATATACTAACTATATTTGAACTAGTGTAATTGGTGCGTGACTATAAAATCAGTATTATGTGGAATTAATTAAGCCTTTACACTGCCATTTGACACATTTGTCACTATAGACTGCCTAGTACCCCAGCGTGAAAAGTCGTATCTCGCTCTCCGAGATACCTTCAGAATCCGTCCACACCTTGAACTCTCTTAATTGCTCCCGCTAACCCCTTGATCCAACTAAACCTGCCGGGGTTAACTCCAATGGCACCTCCTACCATTTCGCCTGTCACCGGATCATGCCAACACCCATCTTGCGAGCTAACTGCCCCATATATCGCGGTATTTTGGTTTCTTCTAATGCCTTCCAGCCATGCTTGGCATATCTCCGCAGAATCAAAAAGGACATTCGTTTCTTGCGAGTGGAAGATCGATTGTGTATCAAGATTCCCATTTCCTATAAATGGGATTTTAATTAATATACAATGGTGTTATGCCAGTTTCACATTTCATAGTTCTTACCTTGAATCGCAACGTGCTCGTCGATGACCATCAGTTTTATATGACAGCTCCGTTTTTTGAACTTGTTATGGATAGGTTTCGTTTGATCCTTCGCCACATAATTGTATATCTGAAGCCTGGCCTTCTCTTCCTCAGAGGTAAGAGAGTTGTATAGGCGATTTGATATCATTTCGTTGGTGCCATTTTGGAATGGAAGTAGTTCTCCTGCGTCATTGTATCCCAGGGTAAGATAGCAGGTCACCACAAGACCTCGACGAACTGCATTAAGGATAGGCTCTAGTAGGCATTCTGCATTCATATTCGGGGTTTGAATGAAAATGGACTTCTGTGCGTTGCGGATAGCTGAAAGGAATGCCACGTTTTGAGGAGTGTAAATACTCGAGTGATTCAAAGCTAACAACTAATGTTAGTCGTGGATAATACTATCTCTATGTCAGAGTAAAAACCTACCGGGCCATGGCTCTCGACAGACCAGTGCCATTGGAAACGGATTATGCGGCGCATGCAGAAGGTAAGGTGTCATTTCATTTTGATCAGACCATTCGGGGGCATCGCCTGTTATGTCAGGACGTTTAACAATATCTGCGTTGAGTTAGCGAGGCAACCAATTCGCATATATGATCACAGCTATACACACTCAAGTGACGAGTGACGCCTTCCACCCTACTTTCAGTACCTCGAGGTCTGACGCTAGCTTGGATACTTGCGGCTTCTGACTCAATGTCTGGGTCATACTCTCCGGACTCCCGGGTCAATTCATTCCGGCTCTCTAATTCCTTCGATTGGAGCCTTCAGGGCAATCAATATGTTAACTCGAGCAACAAAAAACAGCAATTAAACGGATGAGCTTAGCTGGGCCGCACCTCTCTAATTGGAATGTATTGACAGCCTTCCCGGTGAGTTTCTGACCGGCGTGATGAGCAAAACTTGGCGGTTTCTCTGTCATGGCGGGTGAATTAATCATTGGAAGCATTGGTGTCAACTTGGTATTCCATTGGATAATCGCCAGATCATAGAAAGAATCGACGATGGGGCCTTCCATTCGAACCATCATTTCCAAGTTATCATTGTCCTAGCACAAGTTAGAACCCATAAGAAGAGTTGCCATTTTAACGTACGGTACATCAATACTGAACGAAACAACACTGCAAGCATCAATCACCAACCTGTATGTTGTTACTTTGGAGCAATGCCACCCTCCGATCCACCACCATGAATTTTGAATGAAATGTCCCCAACAAAGGTTTGTGGTAATTCATCACTTCAAGTTCAAGGTTTGGGATATGTTCCGGGGGAGGCATTTGCACATGTACGTCTGTGACCGCCTTAGGATAAACGAGCTGGCGGCTGTTGATGATCTAGCTGTTGTTAAGCGTTGAAGCTCTTTCGCAGGGGGGATAAATGACTTCTACCTTACCTGTTTCAACTGTGCACGATCATACATAATCTTAACAACCACCTTAGTCCCGCGTCTCCCAGCGCGAAGGGATAGTTCCTTCAGAGCATCCGTGATGAGTGTCGAGCAGCGGGAAAAAGTCCAGTAATTTGTGGCCAGGAACACCTCCTTTTCTGCCCGAACAATGCAGTGTGCCATATGACGACAGATATCAGGAGTCGGAGCAATGATGGTCAGCGGCACAACTCCGGAGCTCCCTAGTAATGATGGGGAAGCGCAGCCAGCCATCGGGTTGCGGTCAAGAGCACAGAGCACATCGTGATATATCTAGCGTGGATATTGCTAATTAGAATATTTCCGCAGATAAAGAATTGTTTTTTTTAAAAAAAAAAAATTGGCTCTCGTGCTCTATACCTGAAGAAAAAGATCACTGGGCCTTCTAGAGCCCCATTTCCCGCACAAATATGCCTGCTGCAAATCAAGATGTCTATTCCCCTTCTCCTTTTCGCTGCTCCGGCACCTATCGCATAAACCATTCTGCGGCTTGAATACCCTGTCGATTATGTCACGAGGGGCGCTTTCAGGTTCAGTAGCAAGCTCTGAAGTCACGTTCGTACCATCACGGCAAAGTTCATATATCCACTCCGGGAACATGTTGTTGTAGGTCCAGCGTCCACTGGTAGGTTGGGCTAGAAGAAGAGCAACGAAACCGAAGAAACCCAAGAGCGCAGAAAACCCAGCTGCCGAAAGCCTTATCAACCCAACATGGGACGAAGCCCAGGGAAACCAAGATAAGTAGCAGAAAGAAAACAATTGAGGCATGATCCACAGTCCGGATTTGGATGGAGGGAAGGCGCCGAAGAAAGGGGGAGGATGGAAAGCGACAGGAACAAACAACAACATTTTGCACCAGTCCCGGACGCTCCTCAGACTCGAAAAACCCGGGAAGAAGGCGTTTTAATAAGGGATTGACAGGGCCCGGAAAGAGTTGGATCATATAATTATCATTGTAATTATCGGAATTGTGGCGTTGAAGCTGAAATTCGTCTCATACCTGGGTCGGGCGCAGGAATTCATCCTGGAAATTTTCAACGTCATTCTTTGGTAAGCGATCAGCAGAAGTTTGTATTCAGGGAAACTTCCATATAATTATTTAAGACGTATAATCTAATGTAGGGCGTTTTGTTGGGGGAGAACTTTTTTTTTTTTTTTTTTTTTTTTTTTTTGAAATCATATTTTGGCAGCTTGATTATGGTTGACATTTGGAGCGGAGGTAGCTTAACCTGCAATTGAGAGATTCTATTTAAGTTATAACCAAAACGATAGAAGTTAAAGCTCATCTCTTACAGTACATGGGATGGCTGGCCAGTCATGCATCTAGGGGGGATTCTCTCCTAACAATGTTGAATGGCAGTTGTTGACATTGACGGCGGCCCTGACAGGGCCGAAGCTGTAGATAACAATTTCTGCCCATCATTAGCACACTTTCACTATGAATTTGCCTGGCAATCATATAAACTATTGAACCGAAGCAAGCACCGAGACGACGTGTTGCCCGCCTTCCTTGCCATAGGGTGTGTCTCAGAAACAATGTCCGCAGTGGCTAAAGTGCGAGAAAGGGTCAAACTCAACATTTACTGGGACGGTAATAGAATATTGAGCTTCAGCAGTGCGATGTGAGGTGAGTATCCGCTGATACAGTCCAGGACTAGTGAAGCTGTATCCCGCTAAACAGTAAACAGTCGGCTCCATAGCAGATTATAACTGAAGACAATCGGCAGGTGGAAAAGGATATGTAATGCATTGGGCAGAGTCCTGGAAGAAGGTTCCAAAATTTAACATCGGAATGGGCATATTCCGGGATGAAAATCGATTCCGCGAGTGGGAAGAATTGGTTCCGTTATCTACATAGTCACCAGCAAAAGAGGCGTGCAAAGAAGAATCTCCGAGATGAAGATTCGGCGGGATTCAGGGGGAGGAAGACAGTGGGTCACGTGGGGGTACCCTAGCGTATCCAAGTAGCGCAAGAGCTTTTTCTGACTTCTGTCCGGAAACGCGCATCAGACGGTGCTACCAGAAGAAGTCCTCTCAAGGCGATTGCAAGGTCTGCATTGGACGGACAAGCCCCTAAGTTTGGGTTATTTCGAAGATGACAGCCAGAGCTAATCGTGTTCCTCCTATCAGAAAACCTGGCATGACGGTTGCATCTGAAATGGGACAACAGCCAGCTTAAAAGAAAGGGAAACGATTTCGATGCAGACGGGTCTGCCATATTTACACATGTGCGAAATCAACTCCGCGAGGACCTATGTTAACAGTTTTGCCAGCGGAGAGATTTTTTTTTAAGGGGAAATCGGTCGCCGAATGAAGGAGCTCTGAAAATGGATGGCGCTCAAGCGTGCTACTCATACCTCGCCGTCGGGGTAGAGTCGATGCTCCGACGAGTAGGCAGGCGTGGAGGTCCGTGAGCGTAGGATCGAAATTGTGCGAAATGAGGCACAAATACGATACCTGGTGTGTGTTCTTTCATGCGACAGTGTCTGCGCCTATTTGTAGCCAATGCCCGGTTTTGAGTATGTTGATATTGTCAAACCCAATAGCCGCTAACGTTTCTCTAGGAGATGCAAATGTCCATGATATTTGGACCCAAGGCAATACATGGGGAGCTAGTGCTTGAGTGCCGAATTTTCAAAGGAGGAGCTGAATGCTGAGTCCTTCCTACAGGTTGAACTAGGGATATCCAGCTTAATCTTTCTTCCCGTATCGACATCAATCCCGAGGGGGGTGAAACCAATGTAGGCGGATGTGCGGAGAGGACCACCTTTATCATGCACAGTTGATGAACTACGATAAACATCTCCGACCCACTGAAGCTGGGAGGAATCTCAAGGATAGCTGGATCTGATGAGTAGGATGCCCATTCTTCGAGTTCTTTGACTCTGTGCAAGAGAGGATACCTGAGCTTCCAAACAACCAAGAACAATTCTACGCAAATCAAGCTGGATAGCTGCCTTACATTGCTTACCAATTACGTATGCACAGACGGTGGACTACGAAGCCTTCGGAACAATACAGGCAGGTTGAAGGAAATCAATCCAATATTTGAGAAGCTGTGTACGCTACTTTCCCATATCCCCCTCGTATCACTTATGTTTCTTCCCTTTGTCGCACCCTTCTGTCTCCCTTCCCATCCAGGCACGGAATCAACCTTGAGGGAGTTGCGCGATTGCTAATAGATCCTAGGATATACTTTGAATTCGAAGAAGGAGGAGGTTACCTTAGCCCACCTATATCGTCTAGCGGGAAAGCATAACACCATCCGTCCGAGACCCGCTGTTTATTTCTACAATCAGAAACGATACCCTACAGCGTACTCCGTAGATATCTTGGTCATGACTGGACTGTTGGGCCGAGGTTTCTCCCGTACCCACACGATCCCCTTCACTAAGCCAAGAGTGGCCTAGCGTATCCCCGCATTCCCGAACCCCGGCTGCTCCAGGACGCTGACTCAGCACCCGACCCCTCGATTTCGGCGTTTCGTCTCCAAGCTTGTTTCCTTTCTCTTCCTCTTCCTCTTTCTTCTTTGTCACCTTGACTCGTCTCTCCTCTTTCATTCCTTCATTGAACAGCTGGACATGAGCTGATTTTTGCTTTTGATTCAACTCTCAACCCCGTTCTACTGGACTTTTTCTAAACTTCGATAGAATCTCAATCCAATCATATAATCGAATCAGCATCCTTGCCGTCGCTGCTGCTGAGCTCTACTTATATCTCTGGGATTTTACATATAAAATGTATGAAACTTACCCCCATATATAAGGTTTGATATATTCAAACATGCTAATGTGTAATATGTCATGTTTAGGGTTTACACAGCATCTTTTGCGTTCTTCGAGGCGCTCTGGGAGGTTGGTTCTCACAACTTGACTTTAACCCCTTGATATTTGATATTGATCAATACCTGCAGGCCGGTGTCACCCATGTCTTTGTCAATTTAGGCTCTGACCATCCCTCTATCCTAGAGGCTATCGTCAAAGGTCAAAATGAGAAAAAAGGACAATTTCCCAGAATCATCACATGTCCCAATGAGGTAAGGGGTTGAAGTTGCCTGCCTACCCCCGGATATCGTCGGGCCGAAAAGTCAAAAAAAGAAAAAATTTACTTGTCTCCTAATGGCTACTAATCCCGCATGAGCACAGATGGTGGCTTTGTCTATGGCCGATGGGTATGCTCGGCTTACCGGTAAGCCCCAGTGCGTCATCGTCCATGTCGACGTTGGCACTCAGGGGCTGGGTGCTGCTGTCCACAACGCCTCGTGTGGCCGTGCCCCTGTCTTAATTTTTGCTGGTCTGTCTCCATTTACGCTTGAAGGGGAGATGCGGGGCTCCCGCACGGAATATATCCACTGGATCCAAGATGTCCCTGACCAAAAGCAAATTGTATCTCAATATTGTCGCTATACTGGAGAGTTCAAGACTGGCAGAAATGTCAAGCAGATCGTCAATAGGGCCCTGCAGTTTGCAACCAGCAGCCCCCAAGGTCCTGTATATCTATTTGGAGCTAGAGAAGTGCTGGAGGAGGAAATCGAGCCTTACACTATTAACCAAAGTACATGGAATCCCGTCGCACCAGCAGCACTCCCTCAGGATGCGGTCGCTGAGATCGCAGAGCTCTTGGTATCCGCCAAGCAGCCACTGGTGATTACTGGCTACAGCGGACGAGTTGCATCTGCCGTGACAGAGCTCGTCACCCTGGCAGACACCGTACATGGACTCCAAGTTATCGACACGGGTGGAAGCGACATGTGCTTCCCGGCCAACCACCCAGCTTCACTCGGCCTTCGCTTCGGAGTGCACGAGAAAATCCCAACCGCTGACGTCATCCTCGTTATCGACTGCGATGTGCCCTGGATCCCAACCCTTTGCAAGCCCTCTGAAACCGCCAAGATCTTCCATATCGATATTGACCCCCTGAAGCAACAAATGCCGGTCTTCTACCTCCCAGCCCAGGCCACCTACCGTGCCGACTGTACCACCGCTTTGCGCCAACTTAATCAACACATCTCCAGCAACAACTCCCTCCTCAAGACCCTCACAGCTCCAGAATACACCTCCCGCCGCACGGCCATCGAAGCCTCTCACAAGGAGCGACTCCAAGCTCTCGCCGCACAAGCCGCAACGCCAAGCGGCGGCCCCACAGCCCCTTTAAACGCAGCCTACCTCATCTCTCAAATCCGCGCCGCCTGTCCTGTGGATACGATCTGGTGCATCGAAGCTGTGACCCTCACTGGCTTCGTCGCGGACCACATCCAAGCCACGCTGCCAAACTCCTGGGTAAACTGCGGCGGCGGCGGTCTCGGTTGGTCCGGCGGTGCCGCGCTGGGCCTCAAGCTGGCCTCCGATGACCAGCACGGCGGGACTGGCAAGGGCAAATTCGTCTGCCAGATCGTCGGCGACGGCACGTATCTGTTCAGCGTGCCCGGGTCCGTATACTGGATTGCGCGCCGGTATAACATCCCCGTCCTGACGATTGTGTTGAACAATAAGGGGTGGAATGCGCCGAAGCGGAGTATGTTGCTGGTCCATCCTGATGGAGATGCGTCCCGGGCAACGAACGAGGAGCTGAATATCTCTTTTGCACCGACACCGGATTATGCGGGCATTGCGAAGGCGGCGGCAGGGGGTGAGTTGTGGGCTGGAAGTGCTGGGTCGGTAGAGGAGCTGGCGGATATGTTGCCCAAGGCTGTTGAGAGTGTTAAGAGTGGGAAGGCGGCGGTGTTGGAGGCGCAGTTAGAGGGGAAAGAAGGGAAGTATGTCGCTGAGAAGAAGTAAGTGTTGGAAAGAATGGGGTATAGAGTTGAACATACTGGGCATCTCTTTTGTATTTTTGGCTTGCTCTACTCTTGTTAATTTTCCACATGATCCATCAGATATCTCCAATGAAAAAGATAGAATGAATATGACATGCTCGCACCCTACTATATTTATTATATGTCCACGGGCGGATTAATTGCAAAGATCGAATTGGCCTAATTTTATTTCCCCCTCCTATTGTTTCCATGCGCTCAAGGAGAGACCAGGGAGACCTCCTTTTAAATCCGATATTCGAGTCCATTGTTCAATGAGTCTCGGAAAAACCATTTCCAACTACCTCCCTATATACCTGCAATTTCTCCCACACACCTTCTCCAACACTCCACCCGCGACTCCACCCCGTGCCCCATCCCTACGATACGGGGTTTCCGCATTCCGAAACCTAAACACGGATATGCTCCCCCAGAAAACGCTCTATTATATATCAAAATTAAATATATTGTTACATGCAAACCCGTACCAATAATAATTGATCACCTCCCATCCCTCCAGCCCTCCCCCATTCCTCAAACATAGGCATTATCGTTAACTACTCGAAAAGGAATTGCCCAAAATATCGGCTCCCTCCAGTTCACACCCTTCCATGCAAAGCTGCGCAACATAGGAAAATAAAAAGCAAAGGAAGACAAGAAACAAATGGGATGAATGAGGCAGCGTGGCGCCATATTACTACACCTCCCCCACCTCCAACTCTTCCCCCCCCCCCCCATCGTTCGCCACCCTATCAACGAAGAACAGGTGTAATATCAAGTTCACCTCGCATCTAATTCTTTAACTTGACCACAGTACTGGCGCTGGCAGGGGGTGGTTTAGGTAACGGTTTTGACTTCAAGCTCAGCTGTCTAGGCTTCAGGTCACCTGTTCCGATGTGTACCTTGCCGGTTTCTGCTTCAAAGTATTGCGCTCTTCGTTTATTGCCCGGCTGCTGTTGTGGGTAAACTGGTTAGTTTACACTCTCCGTGAATAATGGATGGATGAGGGTGTTGCTGGCGTGGCAGACGGATAACGTACATGTACCTGGCCTCTGGCCGCCGTCTGGGGTGACGGGGGACTGATTAAGCCCTGTTTCGCCGTCCGATCGACCTTCTGGTCAGAAAACTAACAGGTTAAAAGAACAGAGCATTAGCACGAATAGAACCGTTGCCCGTCGCCTCTTTTCTCTCGTCTTACATTATTAGTATTATTAGGTTGTTGGTAAGGATTAAGTAATGGTTTTTGTATCTAGTAATGGAGTCAACGTTAGCTAACATAAACCGTGACAGTGCATCGAACTTGAAAAAGATTTAGTTCCCTCACGTTTGTGATATATTTGTCATGATCGTTACTTTGACATGGTGTTGCCCTCTGTGAGGAACCATTTACCCCTGGCTATGGATAAAAAGCTTTAATTTCATTTCTTCCTCTTCATTTAGGCAATTATCTGCAGGAAGCTCTAATACTTACCGTCTTCAAAGAGCCGCTCCCGACCGGTTTCCGTTTTATCCGTATTGACCGCGCCCGCGCTCTATCACCGAGGAATATGGAATCTATAGATTCCGAACACTTGGGGATATTGACAACTTGGATCACGTCTGGCGGAACCTGCTGGGCTGATATAGTTCTTCGAATCCCCTAGCAGAAAAGGAGAAGAAAAAGAGTTAGAGCATGTTCAATTATCAGCATAGAGAAATATTAGCTGCTTTCTTTTCTTCTTCTTTTCTTGGTGATAAATTTCCGTGTTGGTGACATACCACATCCGGCGTACTATGTACAGGTGGGGACGGTCGAGTGCACTCCTTAAAACAATCAGTGACCAAGCCACAATTAGGTGTTTAGGAACGATACGTTTAGGGATTTGTCAGTTCTAACCTCCGCCATTAATTCGGAAAAATATACTTGTTCCGGCGGTTGTATTATCGGCTGGATGCATTTTGAGTAATATTAGTACCATGAAATCTCAATTAATGTATAAATAAGGAGCGCCTCCCGCCATCGGGTATTAAGGCGGAGGTCGTACCCAATGAGTCTCATTTTGTCGCTGAGGCCATGTTGCGCATTTCTGTTGCCACATCGAATTATATACTTGAGCACCAAAGGGTGTATGGCCATAATTTCAACAGGGGGGTCGTTTCTCTTACCACAGCCTCTCCATCTTTCTCAGAAACATGTTTTCCCTGAAGGTTTCTGCGAAGCCGGGTTTGAAGCGCATTTAATGATGCTATGCCGTTCTACTCCAGCTCCTATTAGTTAAAAGTATTGACGAAGTGGTAGTCGTGAAATATCGAAGTCAAACTTACACTTAGCATCGAAGTCTTCACATCCGTTTCTGCTCCCCCCTGTTTAAGAACCAGGCACATATGCCTTGACCGAAACCTGCCATAAATTGCTAATATACCTCCAGCAATTCCCACAATTAGGTATACAGTTCCAAATAATGGATGTTTTAGAGATATCGACGGCATGACATTCCTTGGGATCAGTGCAGTAACAGCCAAGCCTCCAACCCGAGCTATTGTCGCTACTAGCACGATGAGTGCGATTAAAGCACCATGCGTGTACAGGCAAAAGGGAGATGCCATGAAAAAGTACAGCATAGTCGTCGGTAGCCATGCTTGAATGTGCGACAAACTTAAACACATCAAAATAATCCCTATACAGATTCCGGCCGCAAAGATAAACAACGCTCCGCCTATAAGTATATTTCGTCTCGGGCATGTTTTGGTATATGATGCGCCAACAATACAGATACCGACCAGGGAAACTTGAAGGCTCGGAAATGCCCAAAGCGCTGTGGTGAATATAAGACCCGATGGCTCGATGTAGAATTTAGATATCGTTAGGATAGTCGCGGTGATGGTCAATGAATCTGTCAGTACTATCCTTGTAACTTCGGCGTCAGTCATACCCTCTGTAAGAGATTCATCTCGGCCACCAAAATAATAGAGCTTTGGCCAGCGGGAGCGATTGTTTGTATGGTATATCGCAAAGACCCCAGCGACGGAAGGCATGTAAACTCGCACACATTCCCAGGTAATTGCGTCGACATAAGCACGAAATCCCCGCTTCCAAATAAGAGGGATATCCCAGATCCACCAGAAGATATTGATAGAGATAGCAGTAGTTATGAAACTACCCCAATGTAGGGATTCGGAGAAGTTATACATCGGAAGGTGGGAGTTGGATGTGGAGCACGGTTTCAGTCGTCGATTGTTTTTAAAGATTTGTTCGATGCCATTTGAAATGCTGATATTCCGTCTACGAGAGACGTGACAGGCAATGAGACCCTGTGGCCAACACACGCTCGAAAAATCTCAGCGATTATCCTCGTTCTGCGTTCGTTTGGAGATAATGCTAACCCGGAAATCCCCTCAATGACAGTTATTTATTCCATGATGCTCGCTCTGCGGATGAATATAAAGAGTATCTCCGGAATAAAACAAAAAATGGCGTAGTAGAGAAGAGAAACAGATGCGCGGGCGGGAATCAAATCTGGAGAGCTTCCGTCTCCTAGGATCATGGGTATTCGTAATCAACCAAATATTTGCGTTATGGGCAGCTTGACGAGCCGCAGATTTCGAACTTCGTATCACCTTTCATTGGATGATTGACTATGTGGCTGCCTCTATGCATGAGGGGCCGACTGGGCAAAGAGCATCATCCAAACCCATCAAGTGCTTGAAATCAGACACCCTCTGCGGAAAAGTTCAACCAGGTGGTTAGGAGCAAGGATAAATGCTGACCATTGTCATTATTCTATGTCGGGGCGTAGTCATCGGCAAATACGCAGTGATGGCGTTTATATACCACAGTCGAAGTGTAGGTTTGTAGCCAGTTGTAATGATATTATGGGCAGCACAGCCTCTCCTGAGGAATTAAAGGCAGTACCAACCCAGAAAGGACGATATTGTCATTTAAGGAAACGTATAGCCGTCAAGCAACCCCTGGTGGTGCTCCCCAGTTCTCCAAATTGTATAACAATTGAATTAACGATGTTCCAGTTCGTCCATTTTAAGTCTAGCACCAACAAAAGCGCGAGATATAGAGTAACAAAGAACAGAAAAAGCAAAAAACAAAGAAAGCAAAGATGACATAGGAAGGACACGTCTACCTAACCATTGCAATGCTGCAGCCACAAAGGACAAGCGCCTCTGAAGACTTGGACAATAATATAAGCTTTATTGAGGGTGCTTTGGTGCCGCTATCATTTTGCTCTGCGCCGCATCTTGATCGGTGATTTCAGTCAAGTGTGTAGCTAGCAGTTGGCCAACACGCGAAAATGATTGGAGGAAACATGATCGACGCTAGGCCTCGAACTAGGAGATGAGTTGAATTCAAGTAAATACGTCCGACGCTATACAACCGTTACACAGATCAGCAGGTACCATGAGCCCCTGACAATTGTAACGTGAGAATGCCTACCCACGCCATTTTCTGGGCTTCAATAATATCCATTTTTCAGGCGCTTAGCACTGGTTGGGAGTAGTATTTGCAACTGAAAATGCCAGCTGTCGGTCATCATCTCTCCTAGGTCTTCGGGCTTCTATTCTGTTGTTCCCCAGGTCGATCAATGCACAGTATTTGGATGTTCCGAGGTCCGACCACCGCATCACGCAATTGTAGGAACTTTGGTGGAACTAGAGGTTGAGACATACAGGCGGCTAGTCGGCAGATCGCACACTACTATCCCCAAGTATATCTAACCATGTTCCTGAGAGATGAAACTGCACGGGGACGAAAGCTTGTCCAACGTCAACAGTGGCCAGCAGTTAGGGGCGTATAACGCAGTAAATTTCACCCTGGCATGATCAGGCTGTCCATGTGGGCACTGACTGGATAAAGAACATGCCGAAAGACCAGTCGCCCTTGAGACAACGCGGTTAAAGGCGAGAAAAACAAGATCAATTTCTGAGCCTAGATGCGCACTCGGTTCCGTCATATTTGAGTCGTTTCAAAAAGTTTGTTTTCGATTAAGTCGCCAAAATGTTAAAACAAAGCAACTATGCGGTATCTCACGCTTGGTGACTTCAAATAACGGCATAGATTCGCCCCAGGGGGCCAACAAGTAGTCCGCAGAATTGATCGCGCTTATGGAAACATGGGTAAACAAGCATAGTGTTCCAGCAGGACGGCAACCAAGTCCAATAGACCCATGCCATGTCTCTATTACCTTTAGCCGAAAACAAAGTGCTTCCAATTTTCACCAAGGACCCGAGCTCCATGTTCCAGATCCCATTCACGAATCGTACATATCTGACGCACAATCGCTTCAATCAAGTCGTCCATCCTTTCTCCAGCGCAGTGAAGATCGCTTTCAACCAGTATTCTATCATCAGGAAGCGCCTTGATCACCTTGATCACCTTTGTTGAAGAATCGTTTGTAAAGTTAATGATGTTAGAGAAAGAAAAATATATATCTGCCGGATTGGATTTGCGAAGGAACTGTTTCAAAGCGTCTGGAGGCCCAGAGTATGAGTGCATGCATATCCGTGGTGGAAATGTATGGGATATAGGGCCCGGCAATCCTTTTTCATCTTCAGCTTGGTCATTATTGCTAAGTTCGTGGGCTTTGTCTACACTTGGTCGCCTCTTTCGTTGCCGATTTGAGACACCTTTCTTCTCATGGCCCAACCATAGTTCCTGGAGTAGGTCAAAAAAAGCACCGTGTGCTTGAACGCTATGAACAGATACCGGCCGTTGCATTTCCCCTGCAAGTTTGAGTTGGGCTCTAAGGATTGCCTTCTGATGGGTCAAGGTGACGCGATGGGGAGACAGGGTTCTTCCTTCCCTCGTGCCAGGTGTGAGGCTGGTGTCTCTATTTCTGATCTCATGTGGAAACCAAGCATTTGGGATGCGAAATGAACGGTCAAGGCCGATTTCCCCAACAAGAGCGTGAGGGTGTTTCTGCAGTCGAGCTCTTGTTTCAGATACCAATTTCGACAATGGGAACGGTTCCGGGAGGCCATGCAGCAGGTTCTCATCCTTGACTGGGGGGGTTAAAACATTTTTATAATGCTCTTCTTTGGAGATTATGGTGCCATTGCGTATTTCCATATTGACATCGTCGATAATTTGATGAGAGAACCACGGATGCCATCCGAAGCAGGGAATGATTCTTAGATTTTGATCAGCAGAGTTTTCCGCTGGAGAATATCTTAACGCAAGCTGGGCAACTAGGTCCTGATCTTGACCACGAGTAGCCATGACAGTCAAAGCAGCGGTCTTCATCCGGGCGATATCATCGACAGATGCCATTGTGTCTGTTGGATGGCAATGGGCGTCATAAACTCCTATATGCCAAGGAAAGGGAGCATCCATTGTGTCTGGCACCCGGATGAATATCCACCAATGAATGCTAAAAAAGGAATTGATTCCTCCCAAGCGGCTTTCAAAAAATGAAACGACCAAATTTATCTATATACAAACACAGCCCTGCCCTGGTTGGGTGAGGTTGAAGTTAAGTTAAACTCTTGCTAACTACAACAAGCGGGTTTGGACGCCAAGCCGCGCGCAATCTTATCAATCAGCGATCACCCCAATTCGCCTCTCTCAACTTCCATGTTTATTATCATCTCTTATTTACAAAAGAACATTTAAATCAGTATGCTGTGATGGTCCGAAATATGGTCATTCGCTCTTCTGTCCCTAGCAACATAGGGCCACTACCCCTTCTTATGACTATCTAGCCCCTAATGGAGGACATCACCACCCCATCGCTGGTCGAGAGCGCCATTCTGCTATTTCGAACAAGCTCATCACAATGCTGGGGACCTACATAACCAATCTAATGATCCTTCCCATAGCTCTCCTAATCACCATCCCGCTCGCCTTCATCGCTACAATCACAATCACCATAGCCTTCACAACCCTCTGCCTGCGCCTCTGTCTAGTCTATCTGGATTTCTTCGCTGCCCTCGCCCGAGCATACGTCCACACCCTACCAGCCTCCAACTCAACAACAACTACAGCGATATACCCCCGAAATCCACTTTTACACACCATCTACAATAACCCCATCCGCCGCCGCAGCCGGTTCCAACCAGGCACACAATTACCAGCTGAAAACCAAGTATCCCCAGGCAACATCTACCGCCGCAGCCCATATCTGCTGCTGCGTAGAAGCTCTACCCCACCCGAGCGGGTGAGGAGACTCAGAAGACAAAGTTCCCATGGTTCTCTTACACAGATAAGCCGCTTATCACGGAAATACAGTCTCCCAACGCCCGGATCGCTCTCATCCTTTGTGGGTGAGCCGAATTTGAGCGGGAATTTTGACCCGATTGACGGGCCGTTTCAAATACCCGCTGGGTCTGCCTCTAGTTCACAGATATCCTCGGCCTCGTCCGATAAGGCTGGCGATGATGAACATGATGACCGTGATGATGAACATGACGCTGCGGCTGAGATACTCAACTATTGACGGTGAGATGGATTGTTGAAAAGCAGGGCTTGCTGCCCTGCCCATGCTTGGAAGAGTAACTATCCTACCGCCCGGCCCGCCAGTGGCGCCCAACTCTACTACTCTCTAGGGACCTCCGTTTCAAGCAGCCCGGGATATCAACTTGGTGGGTCATAGAGTATATGATATGTTAAACAAAACAATTGCACTAAACAGCCGTTTTTTTCGTTTTTATATTTAACAGAAGTCCAATTGACTGCGAGTTGGGACCAAAAATCGCGCATATCAAGTCAGGATAGCAAAAATCAGAAACTAAAACCAATGTGCATCTCTTCAGCGGGCGTTGGGGCGTTTAATCATGAACACCTATTAGTCTCCTGGTCACGGAGCATCTTGATCACTTGCCCGACAGCAACGGGGCAAAAAGTTCTTTTTTAAAGATTTTCCTTTTCTTACATTTTCTCTGAAACTTCTGGAGCGAGCCATAGTGATGATTTATATATATGATGAGTGATTTATATTTTGTAGTACAGTTCAAAAATGGGATGAATGATAAAAATTAGGGGTTCTATTATTATACGGATCTATCTTTTCGTAACTTAATCTTCGTTTCATGTGCCATTTTGAATACTTTATATGATAGATCTTTAAAAGGAGGAAAGAAGGAGGGGCCCAAAGTTGGAGAGGGACGAGCCGGACGACCTGAAAGAGAGCGTGTTTTCAAATAATATGTGTGAATGGGCTCGTTAATGAATATTTATTATGCCAATCAATCTCTATAAAATGAGAGAAAAAGAAAGAAAGAAATGAACGAGAAGCAAATAAAGCGGGGGGACAAAAAAAAAACTCCAATAAAAATCCTCTAAAACAACAGAAACTGAAAAATAATCCAGCATATATATATCCCACACTCCTTAAAACAACCCCTTCATCCAAATCAAGCCAACAAAACTTCAATAGCTATACAAAACTCCCTGTCCCTCCCTTCTCCTCTTCACATCCTCCCCTTCTCCCTCCGAACTTCCCTCGCCTCCCTATCAACCCCCCTCATCTCCTCCAAAATAACCTCATTGAATTCCTCCCAGCCATCCAAGTACAAATGATGGCCCGCATTCTTAATAATAACGACCTTCGCAGAGCCTTTATCCGCCGCTCGTTCTTCGGGGCTCGCGTCACGCAGGATCCGCGCTTTTTCTTCCTCGATGCGCGCTTGTGCCGCGTAGCCGCCTGCTACGTCCATCCAGTCGTGTTCGCCGTACATGAGGACGATTGGGATGCCGCGTTCGCGGGTGGAGGGTTGGGGTGGTGATGGGTTAGTGGAGGAAGGATAGGTGGAGGTGGAGGTGGAGGTGGAGGATGATGTGGATGCGGAGGAGGATTGTGGTTGTGGATGTTGTGGTATGTCAGTTGATGAATTAATTGAACTCTCCTGGGAACTGGTCGGGTTATCCTTGGTATCTTTGGAAGCACACCACTTCTGTGTTTGTGTTTGTTTCTGTGTCTGTGCAGCAGCTGCCTTAACATCGACATCGACATCATCAGGCCTCAGCACCTGTCTACCCACGGCATGAATGCGCTTAATCAATGGGTTCCGAGCAAACGCGCCAGGGGCTAGGATATACGCCAGTGCGTATTCGCCGCTGCCGCGCATGCGGAAGAGGGAGTATGCGTAGTCGTGAAGCGCCTGGGCCTCGGCTGGTGGCAGGTGTGAGAAACGGCGCGATGTCCAGCCAGACACGAGGCGGGGTCCAAGAGGACCGGACCAGCGTACCAGGCTGAAAGGGGAGACGTTGGCATCCCAGAGGTATTTCAGCCATTTGGGTAGAGGGCGGCGGGGGGGAGTGGATTCGCCGTTAACTTTATTTGGGGTGTTATTGTTGGCTGATGCCGGCTTGGTGATATTGTTTTGATCCTGGGTGAATTCGTTGCCCATCGTGGACTCGGAGGGTTCGGGCATGTCAGCACTTACGGCGAAGGGATCTTCGGGAATCCCGACGGGGGAGGCGAGAATGAGCTTGTTGAGACGCCCGGGGTATTTGAGCGCATATGACACGGCCATATAGCCGCCTAAACTATGTCCGAGGAGGGTGAACTTGTCGAGTTTGCGCTTAATGCGCCACTCTTCTAACGCATCAATGAACCAGTCTTCAGCCTCGCTGATGGCCTTGTGGCGTTGTTTAGAGTGGATTTTAAAAGGTGGCCGTGTACTTCGACCCATTCCCAGCATGTCGAGGGCATATAACTGCCAGCCCTTGGCACGGCTGAGGGCTTCAAAATTTTTGTAGAAGAAACCTAGACCGGCACCGTAACCGTGAAGGATTACTAGGTTCTGCTCTGTTTTTTCGCCGACGCGCTCGATTGAGAATTCATTCAGGGCACGGTTATTCCCGCTCAGTTCGACCATGGTGGACCGCCATATGCGCGGCCCATGGGGGTCATCGATGGATTTGGCGGAGACCTGGAAAGCCTGGCTAGGGTCTGCTGCGGTAAGGCTGTCTGTAGATTCATTCGGGGTCACAGCATCTTTTCCGGTTTGTTTGTGGGTAGGCGGGTGTTGTAGATAAGGGATGAAAGAGAGGACTTTGTGTTCAGCGGCAGCAGCAGGGATACTTGCCCACTATTTTAGGTAAATCATCAGTACCAGCAAAAAGAAAGGGACAAAAAAAATGTGAAGAAAAGTGAAGGCCGATCAGGAGGGTTGTGAACCTACCCACTGGTTGAACCCCTCCTTATAGCCCAGAGGGAAAAGGGGGCCGGTAATTCTGTTAGCCAATTTACCCCGCGGGGCCTCTGGCATCTGATAGTTGCCACTCAAGTCCTCAGAAGACCCCGAAGCCGTAGAAGCAGCAGTAGCCATAGCCGGATGGAAGTGTATAGGAGATGAAGACGGAGAAGCGCCTAGCGATGAGGCCTGGGGGTCGGACGGCGAGTGGGAGAGGGAAGACTCGAAATGCGCCTGGAACGGGAATGGAGGGACATTTAACTGCTGCGGGAGTAGCGAAGTGGCATGGACATGGGAATGCGACTGGGCCAACGAGAAGGGACAGGTCGGGTCAATCGCAGGCCTAGGTCTTGCCAGGTGCAGGAGGGGGTGGGCGGAGAGGCGGGTTGGGGAATACACTTTGGAATGAGGTTGAGTGACAGAGAGAAGCTGTCACTCCAGAACGACATAGGCATGAAAACCAGAGGGGAAACGGGCGTTCTGGGGAATTATAACTAGAGGTTTCAACCCCGGTACTTGGAGTGTGTTTTGAGGCGCGTAGGGGTTAAGACGGAGTTTGCGCGGAAAAGGGAGATATGATATGGACAAGCCACCCGCGGCGAAGGCAGCAGGATTAGTTAGAAGAAGCGATTCGGGCCGGTGGGCTAAGAGTTAGGCCGAGCAGAGATGCAGCTACGTCGTCAGAGGCAGCTGCTGCCTTTGCTAACTTGTTATCCCGCAAGGTGTTATTATTAATTATATCATTATTATATCAGGGTAACGTCTGTAGATAATCTGTATGTATATTGGAGCTGAGGTTGGCGATGTTGATGCCGGAGTTAGGGATTGGATAACGTAAGCCATTTACATGTACTGTACATAACATGTGTTGGCCCTTACGGCCGTTGCGGTTAGCGATCCCACTAGATCACGTGACCCACCACTATAATATGTTCCTGTAGATAGATCTATCAATACAACCTTCAACTATTCTACAGGTTATAGCCTGGATGGCATGTTTTTCTTTTTAGAACATTGTATCAACATATTTTTGACACAGATAGTTCATCTTTTTTGAAAAGACTCTCACTCTTTATTAGAGATATTTCATTTTCCCTGAATCTGCTGATCAGCAGATTCATATACTTTATTTTTTTTTAAGAAAGCATGTTCTTCATTGTGAAGAATATCACTTTTTATCTTTTTTTTTTACACATCTAGAAGAAGCAGAGTCATCTTAATATGAGTGATATGTCTGTTACTTCAGAGTTCAGCTCAAGGCTCAGAATCACATACTTCACTAGACAACTCATTGATAGAATGATCACTTATTATGAGAAGGCTTCTAACTTGCAAGATGAGACTGAGGTCAGTTTTCACCAGAGTATGAAATTTGATAATGAGACAACAGAGAAACTTCAGAATAAAGAAAAGCAGAGTTAATATTTATCTGCAGAATCTGTTCATTTCAACTTATCAAATTCTTCACTGTTTCTCATCTCTGAAATGCTGACTTTTAATAATAATCTGAATCAATATATCTATTGCACTGCAGGCAATCTTATGAATCTTATACAGATGATGCTATGAAATCAGATAACTACAGTTGAAATCACTTAATATCTCACTATATCTGCACAAAGAGACACTATGAGAGATGAGTTGTGAAAATATCAGAAGAAAGTTAAATATGCACTAGATATCAAATCAGTGATCATATTTAATGACTCTAATTATGAAGTCTGATGTATTGATATGTTAACTGATACAGAAGTTATTAATGAAATTAACATTCTATTGAGAACTCAATGAGAATTCTCTTTTACATGTCATATTAACTCTGAGAAGTGAAGAATCTGTTTCAAGTCTCTATATAGATGTATGCTATTGAGTCTTATTAAAAATGTTTGAATCACTATTAAAACCTTGAAAGCTGACAATGCTGCAGCTCTGTGAGACAAGATCAATGTTGAATATATAATATCACTGATAGAAGAATGAGTTAATATCTTCAAGAAATTGACAAAATTACAAGTCAAGAAGAATAATTATCTTACTTTTCAGAGATGTTTTCACTATCTTGTTATCTGTCACAAGAAGCTCTGTCAGAGCACTGAGAATGTATATTATAATCTTTTCCTCAATAATCTGCAGGATTATCAAAGATCATTTATCAAGACATGTTTGAATGAGTTTTTCTTCACTGACTAGAAACTCATTGTTAATATTGATATTGATAATTTGATGAAGCAACTGATTAATTGTACATTTAAGAAGATTATCACTAAGTGAAAAAAGCAGTCTCAGACTGATTCTGTAACTGTGAAAAAGAATAAGAACAAAGATAAGAATAAAGATGAGAATAAAAGTGCATCTGTATGAAAGTGCACTCACTGTAGAAGATATGAATATACTGTTAACAGATGTTTCATCTTACACTCTGATAAAAAGAAAAAGAAGGATGATAAGAAGAATGACAAGAAAAAAGAGAAGAAGAATGACTTGATGAGTTCTCAATCAGCAGTAAATGCAGTAATTATAAAGATTGAGTTCTACTTCTCTTTCACAGTCACTGAAAAACCATTCTCTAGATCTTGATATTTGAACACATGTGCAAGCCTGAATATGATAGATGAGCTTTATTCTTTTTCAAATATCAAATCTTTTAATGATAATATCTCTGTTGATTCTGTGACTGAGGAAACTGAGTTTGTCAAGAAGATTGAAACTATTACTTTGAAGGTTGAGAATAATGATGTTAACTTGCAGAATATTCACTATATTTCTAATATTACAGTTAACCTGCTCTCATTTACAAAGCTTGAAGATCAGGAATTTCAATTTATATTGTCTTTCACTATTCTCTCATTTTTCATTTGCAGAGCTCTGAACAGTGTTATTTTTCATACAGTTCAGATCACTCAGAATAACATATATAAGATCAATGAGTGAGAGTTCAATGAGAATTCTAATCATCTGAATAGAGCAGTCAAGTACATTGTGATGATGTCTTATAAGTATAATTTTGATTGAAAAGTTGATCTTTCTGTGACTGCTGTCACTACTGTTAATAACATTGATTCTACAGTTTCAAATACAGGTCTCAAGAATACAAGAATATCAAAGACTCTTTTGAACTGACACTGTGATCTCAGTCACATTCACACTGATGCTATAATTACTATGATCAAGGATTTTCATACTGAAGTCATAATTAAGAGTTCTAAGACTAAGTTCTTTTGTAAGAAATGTGTCAAGACTGATATGATACAAGATTATTTGAAAACACTGATGTCTAGATCTATCTGACTTATTGAGAAGGTTCATATTAATCTTGCAGATGATGAATATACATTGAAAGATCTCTCTGATTATCTCTTAGAGTTCTGCCAGAGAATAAAATACTGAATACTTATCACCTGTGACATGACTTGCTACTGTTGAGTGTATTTTTTAAAGTTTAAGAATGAGGCTGTTCAATACTTTGAGTTGTGGCTTAGATTCATGAGTAATCTCAGGTATACAGTCTCTGCTTTTCTACAGACTGATATTAATGATGTTTTCTGATTCACACATATGCACACAGTTATGAATTCATATGATATCAAATAAGAATCAACAGCACTACATTCATCACATCAGAATGATGTTTCTGAATGTGAGATCTGTACTATCATGAGATGAGTTAAAGCTGCTCTTTTGAAAGATAATCTTTCTAAGAAGTTCTGAGCAGATGTTCTAGAGACAGTGATTGTAATAATTAATAATACTCTCACATCTACAGTTCTTTACAACTTGAAATTTTGATTCTCTACTGCAGAGATCTCTGTGATTTCAAGTTCACATAAGATTTCTTAATATGCACTTATGAATATCTCACTGAATGTAAGGCATTTTCACTGATTGAGTGCAGAGGTTTTTGTTTATTTGCATGAATTTCAGTGATCTGTGAATAAGCTTTCTTCACATGCTGATTTCTATTGTATCATTGAATTCAGTGACACATTGATATATTATCTATAACATTCTGAATCTGACAAGATTATTGTCAGTAGTGATGTGAGGTTTCTGATTGCTGAAAAACTGATCATTACATCTGTGAAACTCATCAATTGTATTATTGAACTAGTTGTTATATCTGTGACACTCACTAATAATGTCAGTGTACTGAAACCTGATATTCATCTAGTTAATAATAATGAGAACACTTCTGATATTGATGATCTGAATTTCACATGATTGCAGCCTGTGAAATCACTGACTACTTACACTTCAAGTCTTATTACAGGTAATCTCTCAAAGTTCTACAAGAATGCCACATCTCAGTCAGAAGAGATAGAAGATTATTGAAAGAAGTTCATACAATGTAAGATTACTGATCTGAAGAGATATAATACATGAAGTTTAATCTCTAGATCTGATATTCTGAGAAATGAACTGATTGCTCTGAGCTGTTGAGTGTTTCTTGAGAAAGATAGACCTGCAGATCTGAATACTGATTCTGATAATATTTTTAGAAAATTGTGTTGAGTGATTTATAATAACTGACTTAAGAAGAATTCTAGAGAAGAGATCTACACTTCTGTCATCACTGATACTGTCAATTGTATTCTTTTTGTAATAGTAGTACTACACAGTTGAACACTCTGTCAAGTGAATATAGTGATAGTATATCTTCATGAACATCTCACTAAGAAGATCTATATAAGACAACTCACTGAATTTAAGACAGGTTCACTGAAAATACTTATCTGCATGATTGAGAGTAGTCTATACAGTCTGAACTCTGTGATAAAGATCTGATATGATTACTTAACAGCTCTGTTAAGTGATCTTGAATTTACAGTCAGTGCTTATAATTCAGCACTCTGATATCATACATTCAGATATCATCTTTATATGACAATCTATATTGATGATCTCAACATCATATTCAAAGCTTCTGAGAATGCTGATTGACTAGTAAGTATGCTTAGTGAGAAATTGAAAGTCAAGAATCTATATCAGTCAATTAAGTATTTGAGTATGAAGATCAATTATTCAGATAAGAGAATTGATTTGATATATTATCAATATATTAAATACCTTGTTGAAGATTTCTATCTTGATGATGCAGCTGTTATCAGAATATTAATAAAGAATGAATTCTGCATTGATAATTCCTCTATATCTGAGAAAGAGACTGATTTCACAATTCAGTGATATCAACATAATGTGAGTTGCTTGCAATATCTTGTAGTTAAAACACATTCTGATATCACTCATGCTGTCTCACTACTCACTCAATGAAATATTGATTCAATATCTCAATGTTGAAAGGTTCTATTACACATTATACATTATTTGAAAGAGATTATGAATCTGAGTATTTTCTACAGACACAGTCTGTATGAGAGGTCTGTTTCTATCATTTCTTTCATTTCTACTGTTTCTTCTGTTTTTTCTGTTTCTATTAATTCTTTCATTATCTCTGATTTCTCTGATGATTTCTATCTACTCTTCAGCTACTTGAATTCCGATTGAGCTGGTCTCTTGAATGATAATAGAAAATCAACATCTGGCTACATTTTTAAGCTTACAGACAGCTCAATTTCATGACATTCAGTGAAGCAATCTTGTGTATCTCTAAGTTTCAATGAGACTGAATATGTGGCTCTTAGTGAGGCAGTCTGTGAGACAACATGAATTCAGAACCTCATGATTGAGCTTGACTTCATCACTACATCTCTGATACAGATTCTCACTGATAATAAGGATGCTATAGATCTCACAAAGGTGACAGTCATTACAGTCTGAAGCAAACATATTGATATGCATTTCCATTTTTCATGTTAACAGTTGAATCAGAGGGTCATTGATTTAGAGTACATTCTCACCACTCAGATGGC